CGGGGAAGGCGGGAGTTAGCTGGGGCGGGCAGAGGCGCCCGTGGCTCTGTCCAAGGTCTCCCGATATCGCCTGTCCTTCCAAGGGCTGTTCCAGCGCCAGAACGCTTTTCGTTTGTCCCTCGGTAACTGAACTGTTTTCTGCTCCGATGTGGAGTTTTTCCTGTTCCTCAGCTCGGATATTTCATCACCGCTTCGATTTAAAAGTGGCAGAGTCAATTCCCTGATACAGGGAGACAAAAGGCAAAAGACCATTTTTTTTTTCTGTTGCTGTTCAGGGGGTTTTGTCGGTCTGGCAGGTTCTGTGAAGGTTGTGCTGCTTTGATGCTGTCATTGCAGAATTGTGGCAGTATAGAGGCCTCTGGGGCAGAAAACCTGGAACTACAGAAATATTTGTACGTTTTTTCCCTAGGTCTGTTTAACTGTAAAACCTCCACAGTTAAGTGACGTCTCAGTGGAAGTAATGCAGTTTGTTTTCATGCTAGCAGGGTACAAAACAACTTACCGGCAGCTTTCATGGTTAAGATAATTGTAGCATCCTTATGGCAGGAAAATCTTGGTCCTAAACACGGAAGTGGATATACTTATGGCTCCTATACGTGACTGATTTGGATGTCAAATTGTCAGCTGTACGCTTTGGAAGCCTTCAGCGAGGTTCAGAGCTTGCTTCTTTGTACACACACACTTAGTGCAACTGTTCAAAGGACTTGAGTGCTGCAGGCACACTCGGGCTGCCTGACTGGGAGCGTGCAACGAGGAGGGAAAGGGTGTAAAAATCTTAATCTTGCAGCAGTCCTTTTCATCTCCCCCTTGCCCCAGTAATTTCAGCCTTCTGTTTTGTAAGAAGTGCTGTAAAGAGCTGAGTGTTTGTACAGTAAGAAAATCTTTAGGAAAGTAAATGCATTTTTTTCTGGGAAATTGTACCAGGTTTAGTCCTAGAAACAATCCACATAGCAGAATCATAAATTAATGTATTATCTCACTAGATAATTTGTTTTTATTTCTAACTCCATTACCAGTGCAAGTCAGAATGCATACTGCTTCATGTGTACATCCAGATGTGCACCGTTTCTGTCTCCTGAAGTTAAGATGAGAGGATGGGAGAAAAAACAGGATGCCCTAAATACCTGATACAAAGTTAAGCTTCTTCAAGTGTGCAAAAGCTTTCTTTTCAAACTTTTTTTAAACTGGGGCTAAAATCATTATTGGGTTTCATCTCTTCTGGGTTATCTGTCAAATTTGGCATGTATGCAGGTAGAATGAAACTAAAGTCTTTGTGTCAGTTCTGGATGAAAAAACACCTGTTTGATTAATTTCTGTTTAACTTCTTCAAGAAATTCAAGCCATTTAAATCCTACAGAGCTCTGAATCTCAGCAACAGTTTTTGCTAGTATTAAAAAACAAGAAAAGTTAATGAACATACTTAATTGAAGTTAGAATCAGAGAATGGTTTGGGTTGGAAGGGACCTCAAAGATCATGTAGTTCTAACCTCCCTGCCACGGGCAGGGACGCCTTCCACTACATCAGGTTGCTCAAAGCCTCATCCAACCAGGCCTTGAACCCCTCCAGGGATGGGGCATCCACAACTTCTCTGGACAACCTGTGCCGCCAGTGCCTCACCACCTTCAGAGGGAAGAGTTTCTTCTTTCTAGATCTACCCTTTTTCAGTTTAAAACCATTACCCCTTGTCCTATTGCTACACGCCCCTGTAAAAAGTCCCACTCCAGCTTTCTTGTAGGCCCCCTTTAAGTACTGGAAGGCTGCTAGAAGGTGTTCATGGAGTCTTCTCCAGACTGAACAAACCCAATTCTCTCAGCTTGCCTTCACAGGAGAGGTGCTCCCAGCCCCCGATCATCTTTGTGGCCCTCCTCTGCACTCACTCCAACAGGTCCATGTCCTTCTGATGTTGGGGGCCCCAAGAGCTGAACGCAGTATTCCAGGTGGGGTCTCACAAGAGCAGAGGGGCAGAGTCACCTCCCTTGCTGGCCACACTCCTTTGGATCAGCCCAGGATACGGTTGGCTTTCTGGGCTGCCAGCGCGCATTGCCAGCTCATGTTGAGCTTCTCAGCAACCAACACTCCTGAGTCCTTTTCCTCAGGGCTGCTCTCAATCCATTCTCTGCCCAGCCTGCACTTGTGCTTGGGATTGCCCTGACCCACGTGCAGGACCTTGCACTTGGCCTTGTTGAACTTCATGATGTTCTCACAGGCCCACCTCTCCAGCTTGTCAAGGTCCCTCCAGATGGCATCCCTTCCCTCCAGCATGTTGTCCACACCACACAGCTTGGTGTCATCAGCAAACTTGCTATGAGTGTGCTCAGTCCCACTGCTTAACTTTGTATGGACTAGTCTTAGCTTTGTATGACTATAATAGTCAATATTATTTGACTATCAAATTAAAAAAAAAAAATCAGTTCCTTCCAGGAATGGAATATGCTAAAATCTGAATTATGTTTTGTATTCACAGGGTAGTGCACAGGACACAAGAAGAGTCTGAAGAGAACTCAAGACCATGGCAGCACGCTGGAGAAGAATCCTGATAATATTTGTGGCAGCTCAAGTACTATTTGTGGTAAATGCCTTTGAGGAGGAGGAGGTACCTGAAGAATGGATTCTTCTTCATGTTGTTCAAGGTCAGACTGGAGCAGGAAACTACAGCTATTTGAGACTAAATCACGAGGGAAAGATAGTTCTTCAGATGCGGAGTTTAAAAGGTGATGCAGACTTGTATGTATCCGATATGACGCTTCACCCCAGCTTTGACGAATACGAGTTACAGTCTGTAACTTGCGGCCAAGATGTTGTCCACGTACCTGCACACTTCCGCCGTCCGGTGGGAATAGGGATTTACGGTCATCCCTCTCACCTGGAGAGTGAGTTTGAAATGAAGGTATACTACGATCGAACAGTTGTACAGTATCCATTTGGAGAGGCTTCTTACAACCCCGAGGAGATGGATGCAAACCAGAAATACTCACAGTCTACAGAAGATGAATCTCAGGATGAGGAGTCTGTTTTCTGGACTATACTTATTGGAATCTTGAAATTAATACTTGAAATTCTTTTTTAAATTGATACGTACTGAATTAAATCACACTTCAGCCTGTGAAATTGAACATGAATGACTTGCTCTAATATTTAATACCGTTTCTGATGTTTCCTGAAGAGGTATTCAGATGACTTTTCCTAAACCAGAAAGGAAGTGGGGGAAAAAGCCATATTTAATTTTATATTGTAAATCCTCCCCTGTATGTAAAACGAGCAGCAAGCACAGTATTTGCAGGGGGGCTTGAAAATGAATGTACAGTTGGGATCTTGTTAAATTCACTTTAAACAGGTGCTTAGGAAAATGAACTCCGATTCAGTATTTTCTATCTTTTTTTAATAAAGTAAAACAACGAACTGCTGCACTTCAGTGCCCCCTCTCAATTTAGAGCATATTTAAAAAGGAAAACTACTCCTTTTCTGAGGAAGCATCTCAAGTAAAACTAATTAGCAATAGCTTATGAGTGTATTCAAGTTGAGGAGCCTAAGGTGAAGGAAAGAGAAACCAATCAATCACCTACCGGGACAGATGATCTATATTTGACTGCTTGGGCTCTACACCAGCGCAGACCATCTGTCAAGCAGAGGTCTGCCCGGTCACTCATCACCTCTGCAAATCTGTGACCTGAATCAAGTGCACGTTCCTTCACTCCTACTGCAGGCAGAGTAAGTCTTCAGCTGTTGTTACTTGTCAATATGACGTTTTCTTTCCTCGTTAAAAGCAACACAGCACAGAGTATCTTGATCTTGAGAGGTGTTTTCCTACACCTCCCTTCCTAGCTTTTTGTGATTGATTTTTTTTTTTCAGCACAACTTCATGAATAAGTCATTAGCTTGCAAAGAAAATTTCTGCTGAAAGGAATTTGCAGTACATTGTAAGAAGGTCAGGTCATGCCCACTCTTCCTTGAAAGTTAGTTTTTCCAGGAGTGGTTTTTGCCTTGGTTGAGTCTTTCAAAATAACCAGTTGCTATGCAAATAGTATATAGTTAAACTGCTCTGTAATTTTCTTTTCACAGGGCTTACTGATGAGTGCACTGAAATAAACAAGTACGTTACCATAATTTTATACAAATGGTGTATGTACAATTTAAATTTCATCACTGAAAGCCTTCTCTTTTTGAGTGGGAACTTCGCTTGTCTGTCTCTATCTAGACATCTGACAGAACATGATTAGTGACTTGCATCACAAAAAAATTATGTAGCCAAAATTAAAAGTTTATTTGGTAAAAAGAAAAAAAAAGTGGTATTGTTCCTCTTGAGAGTGGTTGGTTAAATAGCACCAAAGTATCACTAATTTGTGCAGTTAAGTTTTAGATAGCAAGTTTTTGGGTTTTTTTTAGCCCTCCTTGCTGTTTTTCCCCCTTCTTCCTCCTCTTCTGGGTACGGGAGAGTCTTTCTGACAACAATCACAAATCCAGCGACCTAAGAAAAGAAAGTTATCAATTATTGGGAAACTACCTTTGTTACTCTTTCATCCAGTTACGTACCTTTCACCATACTAACAGGTGCTCATCTGTTTGCAGTACTTCCTTTAATGTACACAACCAGTGCTTTTCCTTAAAATGGAAGCATCTTTTCTGAAAGGTGTAGAAAGCAGCATATAAAATTTACCCTCCCTTGCAGACTCATGGCATGTAACAACTGGCTACACTCGTCTTTATGGACATCAAGAAGTGCCGGCACTGCTAAGGGGGCAGTTATTAGGGAAGAACTTGACACTGAGTTTGCGAGTTGTATTTTGACGCGAGAGCCCGAGGTTCAAGGCAGAAATGAACCGCAGCTGAGGAAGGCTGCTTCTGCCACAGGTGCAGGGTCCCGTTCCCCAAACCAGCATCAGTTATTTCGGCGCAGTCAGGCAGCGCAGATTAAACTGCTGGCAGGGGTTCATCACCAGAGTTTGTACTAAAACTCATTTAAAAATGAGAGTTGAGCAAAGAACAGAGGCATTTAACTGTTTATATTACAACAGCTGGAATCGTAAAGGCTGCTTCGGTCATTTTCTAGTTTTGCGGGCATACAATGTATTTTGTTTAGATTCTTTCCTTAGGTCAGCCTGACAGTTAAATCAGCCACAGAACACGTACTAATGTGGCAGCCGGCACCAGTGCTTCCCAGAAGGGGAAGTACTGCAGTTACAGGGAATACTGTCACTGCAGAACTTGCAGCCACTGAATACTTATTCATGAACTTGCTCACCAGGGATTTAGTATTACATGAAAAGCAACAGTACTATCAGTTATTTTCTTTACACTGCCTTGACTTGGCCAAGTGATACAAGTGACCAGGTAATTTTAAGGTACAAGCTGGCCCGACATCTAGGTACTTCACTTCCAGCTTTGACGGTTAAGACAAAAGAAAAAGAAAAAGAAAGGGCTTTAAAAAGGTGTTTTCAAATATGAAATTGAGCACACTTTTTAATTTAGGAACTGAAATAACAGCACAAACACTTTAATAAAGTGAAAGCTATACTCCAGCAATATGCAGCAATACAGCCTCTTTACAGGTTTCTTTTACGAAAAGAGGTAATTATTCTCAGTATTCTGTGGATATGGAAAAAAACCCCAACACCTAGTTCTGAGCGAGTCTGTTCGGATTCTGTTGTAAAAGCCAATTATATTTCCTATACAGGAATTGCCAGGTTAAACTGTGCACAACCAAATATACAGAAATAAAGCTTATTTAAAAAATTGGGTCCTACAGTGTGAATGCTTTCCTGCTCTGTTACTTACTCCTACCCTTCACACTTGTTTTGAACTGTTCTTTCAAAAGCAGTGTATACATTAATTCTGACAGTGAAAGTCCAGGACTCAGAGGAGGAGGGAAGGGAACAATTAACTCGTACTTTATTACCTGAAGGGATAGCGTCAAGCCCCACACAAAAAGTGTGATAACCACGGTCACATACATCACAGAACATCATTTCTTCTTCGTGGTGAGGCTGCCCACATATAATGCATGTTTTACACTCCATACACTGCCAAGGATAAGTCTTAATCATAGCAACAAGCTCCGGGGTCATATCAAGGCAAGAAGGGTGGCCTAGATTAAAACCAATATTATTATTTTTGTGTCTGAAACAAAATGTAAAATTAGTTAGACTGTTTGCTTTTACAGACGACGAAGCTTAGCGCACCTCCTGGTGAGGTCCCACAGTGCACTGGCCCTGCTAGTACACGTAACGTTACATAGAGATGGAGTCTTTAACGAAGGAGAGAAAAAGGCAACTGAACTGTTGGGAGACACTGTAGTACTCTAAATATTTCCACAAAAAGATCTGCCAAACAAACTCTCTTAGGAATCTGCTTAGTGTATGCAGATACTTACCACTGTTGTCACACTGGGAGCAATGTATAAGAGCTTCAGCTTTTCCTTTCTTGTTGGACTCCTTACCCTTCAGACAAATTCCACATATAGCATTTGGAATGACCTTTGGCTGGAAGGGTAGAAGAGGGCTATAAATTCATTCCAGAAGAATTTACAGATTTAACAGGAAATGTCACATATCTCCTTAACTCTTAAAATTACTGAACTATCTGTTATGACGTGTGAACCTTTAAACATAGGACAATAATTGACAAGCTGCAGTACTGAAAAAAACTGTAGATAACTACATAAAATTTTGCATTTGGCATATGTAGTGAGTTATTTGTAAAACAAATTGGAGCAAAAGAATGTACTTGCTTCTTCCTATGAATTAGTTGGCTAACATTCCCCTCAATGTAAATTAAATGCGACATAGCATTAAAAATTTCAGTATTTTTTTTTCCAATATAGAATACTTGTGTATGAATCTCCATGCAGATTTCCTGTTAATGGAATAAATTAAATACAATTTTCCATTTGCATTACATCTGTCCCTAAATATAGAAAATTATTTACAGAACCAATAAACTTGATTTTTGTATCTTTAGTTTCAAAATATCTGGTCAGCTATGCTGTACACAGCTATCTATTTACCACTCTGTCTTGTATCCAGTCATAACCACTAAGAAATAACACACCTTTACGCTTAACTACAGTTTTATGTTCATCATCTTTCTAAGTGATGATCTGGAGTGTATTTGAGTCCATGAGATCCATTTAAAAGGTAAGAGAGAATTAGCAGGCTGTTACAATGAGTAACACTTGTGTATGTATTCTGTGTCCCAACCCAAGAGATATACCAAAAGAGTTTTATCCTGATGAGGACCAAGGAAGCAGTAAGGCATTACAAATTTCAGGAAGATTTCAGTCGTTATTGTTGAGCTCTGACCTCTGCATAATGGAATCAGTGAGAAATGCAGTTTAAAATTAATATAGTACTCACTGATGTTAAATCGACTAATGCCAGAGTTTAAAAAAAAAAAACCACGCTGCTGCAAAGACAGCTAGTACAGGGAGTTCAAGGCACGTCCTGTTTTTTAAGGAACTAAATGTTCCAGTCAACTACCAACCTGTTGTTGGGGAGAAGAATGAAGTTTAGTTTTAAAATAAACAAAGTGAAAGCAGAAAAAAAAAAATATATATTTATAGATACATGAAAAACAGTTACCAAGATCTTTTGCAATACAACTTAAGCATGTCTATTTCCCCAGCCAGTTTTTGCTAGCACATAGCAAGATAATATCTTGACTTATTTTTAAGTAGTCAGGACACATTGCTTTAAGTTCTCTGAAGTTTTCAATCTGGTTTATGGCTAAAGTCTGCTTCAAATTGTCTGGTCTAAAGAGTTTTATTTAAGAAAACAAAACACCATACCAGATGTTTATTAGTAACTTCCTTCAAAAGATGACAGAGGCATTCATATGGACTTTTTTTTTGCTTATTTATTTTAAAAAAGCAGAGTCAACCTGTTTTATACATAAATATAATAAAACAATAAAAGAAGGCTAACATTCACAAACGTCTCTACAAAATAATAAATATAATGGAAGCGAAACCACACATAAACTCTTTTACTGTTAACTATTCTAGGTGTCCTACATGTATGTATACCTTTATACCCTGCTCCTCCCAACAAAAGTGGCACACGCTTAAACCTCGTTAGTGTTGCAGCATTTACCCTTCTGTTGTTTAGGCCACATTCTAATTTTTTTACTGTGTTTTTATCTATTGCTAAGCAAATCAAGCCTTTCTAAAATAGCAAGTGCACTTTTCTAATCAGACTTCTAGTTTGTTATGGATTTGTATTTTACTGCCTTTAATGTACAGCAGGATACTCCCTCATACTCCAGCAAAACTAAAGTGAGCAACTGTTTGGTCACTGTACTTGTGTGGGTATCTGCCGTTAACACTCTGATATGCACCATTCTGAAGTCACACTGACATAGATGCATTTATTAACAATGCTTCCTTCTACTCTTACTTCACTAAATTGTGTTCATTAGAAATCATGCATGTTGGGGGGGTGAGAATCACAGCCTATTAATAACAAAGTTCCAACATTATGGAAAGTGTTTTTACAAAAATGAAAACTAAAAAAAAAAATGCAAGACTATTCACATTTCAAAACAGTTCAAGTTCTACCACCATAAATGGCTTTTAGAAATGCTATGAAAAAAGCCTATCAAATCCAAATGGCAAGTCATAATACCCCATCTGAGTAGAGTAAATTTTGCTTTCTTTGTCCTCATCTTATTGGGATGAGGAAGGGTGAGAAAATGAATGCAGGGCCAAGACGATGACTGCCTGCTCTGTAAGTTTTCACTTCCATGCTGCGGTGCTGCAGGTCTCAAAGTAAGCATTCCAACTGCAAAATTTTTATAAGGTCCTACTCTAATGCAAAGCACTCCATTGTCATGTACAGTGACCTGAAACAGAAGTGTTGGAAAATATAGTTTCTCAATACATTTCAGTTTTATGTGCAAAAAATCTCCTGTACTTTTAACAGTACCCTGTGTGTGCAACTGTAGTAGCCAGTCCTGCAGCAACAAAGACTCGCTCCTTGCAACATGACAAGATGTAAAACACACACTAACCGTTCTTAGTTAAAGAACTGACAATAAAAAAGGCTCCATATAAAATACATTATTTCTTTTACTCAAAAATAACTCAGTGGAAATGTGTGAATCCTGTAATACTCATAATGCGGCTACAGCTATACATTTGCATGTCGATGCCACAGCAATCGTCCTTCAATTTTAACTAAATGTAACCAAAAGATTACTGTCCTACAAAAATAGTCAAATATTAGAGTACAATACAGAACAAAAGTATTACAAAGATTTAGAATTCACAGGGACAACATTTTAAATCAAGTGAGCCTTCAGCTCAAAGTGCCTTAACATTTAGGCACATATGGTATATCGTTATCTGGTGGTTTTACAGACTAACAAACAAGAATCCTTCTGTCCTACCACTTAAAACAGCTCATGCAATTGGGTTTACTGAAAGCGTTTAAACATTCCCACAAACAAGAAAGCCAATCCTCTCACCCTCCCCACACAACATCACCGGCTTTGACTTAGCAGCAGCCTGGCATCACAAAGACGTGGCACTGGAAGTTTAGGGTAATACCTTGTTACTAACACCATCGGTGATTTTGGAACCAGTAAGTCATGGCTATGGGAATCAATTTTCAAAATGCAATGCTGTTTACTGCCGTTACTCTTCGACAATTGTAAGTTCATAACTTTGCAGAGAGTTCTGCTCCATGAGTTCTCTCCCTGTGCATTCATAAGGCCATTAAATAGACTGGACTAATCAAACACTCAGGTATCTCACAGCTAAGTGAAACTCCTGTAAATCAGTCGCACACAATCTCTAATGTCAAGTTAAACAAAGCTAAAAAAAAATTTTAAGCTCCATCTTTGGCTTTCGTGTTCATGGGAATATTGGTACGTATTCTGTGTCTACAACAATTTGCAAAGTTACATGTAAAAAAATATACATGTGGTACCACAGACTACATCTCCATAGTTTGCATATTTTTTAGTAAGTTCCTGAAAAGAGAGAACACCACTGGAGCTTGCTCTCTGTTACAAACTTGTACAGATACTGTGTGCAGAGAAAAATTTATCTAAGCTGTCCAATTCTTGCTGGAAATTAGCTTAATAATGTAAGTTATAGTTTATTTACCGTTAACTTGGTAAACACAGACAGTAAATATTTATTAATATAAAATGCAAGTCACCAACAGCTCACTTTTGCTGAGACAGTTTCTCAGTATGTACGATCTTGTCACTGACAAAAATGTTCCTTTTTCCATAACCTCTCTTAACAAGCATTCCTGATTGCTACATACTAAACCCTATCTCAATGTAGTGTTTTTCCCTCTTTATTGTTCTATTCCTACTCCCATGTAAGTCAATGGAAAATTCTCATTCCTTTCAGTGGAACAAGACTAGGGAATAACATGCTTTAGAAGAGTTACATCATATTCAGATCCTCTCTTAGTACGTAGAATAATAACACATAAATAATGCATGTCAATCCCATTTCTTTTGAAAAGTATTTTTATTTTAATCTTACTTTAATCTTAATTTTTAAAACTATTATATAGTAATACTGACGATTTGGGTCTTAGGTTTGGCAATGACAGCTGAAATGTCTTGACATCCTCACCAAGTTTTTAGTTTGGATAAAAGCATATTGCCTACTAACGTTTCTACATAGTATGAACTACATAAAAAGCTATTTTCCATATACTGTTAAAGTGGTTACGTAGTGTTGCCTATACAACTGTAGTAAGCTTCTTGCCTTCCATCCTATACATCGTAACATCTCAGGATGGAAGACCGTATTTACAATGAACGTCACAACAATACGTTCAGCTATATAGCTGCACTTTACAGCACTGATCTCTTGGTATGCTGCCATACTAAACAGCAGGAAAAAAATAACGGATACTGAACGCTAGTTTTGAACTGGCAAGAAATTCTGACTGCTACGTTAAAGCAGACAGAAAGACGCAGAGTTCCAATGACAAATCCACAAAGGATTTTTCTGGTGTTACTGCCTGGGAATCTGAGAAGTTAACAGAAAGAGAGGCCACTGTACAGCTAGGGTAAAGGAAAGCCCCACATGAAATAAAAGTAAAAAAGAAGTAAGGAAGCAAACAGATGGAACACACAACAGGAGAGCAGCTAGTGAAGTACAGCAAGCAGAAGTTCCATATTATTGAAAAAACAAGTATTTCAGGGAGAGGCTGGTCAGTCAAGAAGTTCAGTCAGGGGCTTTTTTCTTCTACCTTGTACCCAGGAACTGATTTGGGTAACACAGAACGTTTGGAACCATCTTTTCTTGGAGTAGCACTTTTGTCTCTTGTTTTTTGTCTTCCCTGAAAAGAATCCTCCTGGTTGTCTGTGGCGCAATCACCTTCAGATACATTGCCAGACGAATTGTCCTATAATAAAAATACCATAGCTATATTTTTTATTTTTTTGGATAGACAGACAAGTCTTTCCTATGCCCCTTAGAGCCAACTAAGGTAAGAGAAGGACACATCTTTCCTTCTGCAAAAGCATGGGGTACATCACAATTTAGAACACGTTTGTGCATAACCTTCATTATCCATTATTTCTCATGCTAAGTGACTGGCATCAGCAATAGCAATCATGTTTTCCAGCTGGTCTTGATACCAGAGTGGGGAGCACAACAGCATCGTTCTTTGAACCGTTTTCCTTTAAAAGTCAGGAAGAAATCCACTATATGCAAGGTTGTTTACAAAGTGAAGGGCCAGTAAAAACTTAAAAGTGCCCTTGCCATGCATTTAAAGTGTACTACCAAATAGCACTGCCTTGAATTAAACATGTGAAGGTTTTTTCTGCCACCCTCATCTACTACTTTCACCAGGAGCAATCTAAATATTTCATTCGGATTGCAGCAGAAGAATGCCATCAAAGGCAAAACGCAATTCAATATTTAATACAGAACCAAACAACAGAATTTACGCTGCCGTTAAAGCATTACGTTCTTTTGAGGAACGGGGAGGCAAGAAAGAGGGGAACAGGTTCAAAGAGGGTGAAAGATCAATGTAAGCGTAATTAAGAGCAGCCGCACAAGATTTTTCTCAGAAAAGTGTTAATGAAGGCCTCCACAAAGCTCCAGAAGAAAGCAGTATGATTAAGCACATTCATTACAACAAAAACCAGAGGCCAAATAACAATGGTGCCCTACAGTTAAAAGGCACTCTGTACAAACATCATAGTAATCAGCCTGTGCCCCAGAGCCTAAAACCAAAACAGACAAAATGGACACAGGGCAAAGGCAGGAGTATAACACAAAAGCAAAGCAAACTATGTGGCAACAAGAAATGTTATGTTTCACCGTTATTTTAGGGGAAGGGATTTTTAGGGCAGGCCCACCAAAACACTACAGAACAGGAAAATTGCAACCTGACTCCAACAACGGGGAGGGTGAAAAAGGCAAAAGCATAAAGCACATTGTAGGACTCACCAGGGACATCTAACGAATGGTCGGTAGCCCAAAACTCAGGAAAAGAGGCCTGACAGCTGCCCACTTTTGTTGTCAGCAGGTATTTTTCCTGAACAATATGCCCCAATGACTAGCAAAAAAACCCCACTCTCATAGCCAAATCGACTTCACAAGAATTTAATTTTAAATTTTCTCTACACTTTTCCAACACAAGGACGTTTCTCCTTCCGCATTCTGTCACCAAAAAGACTTCTGAACCTCTGTGAAAAATGAAAGGATAGTCTGCTCGGTTCAGTTACTTTTCTTTACCATTAAGGGGAATGGAAGTCAGTGGAAAAGGGAACTAGAAAGAAATGGTTAAAGACCAACTGCAAAAAAGCTGGAGTATGATTAAACCAAAATTTTGAGTTGACATTTAGCATGCTAACTTTATATGATTTCTTTTTCTCCAAAAAAAATGCAAGCAGAAAGGGTCTATTAATGACTATCTCTCCCTTGTTAGGCTACAAGCCGACCCCTTCCTTTCTTCTTCAGTTATGAGCATCTTACCAATATTCAAACAAAATAAATGTTTATATGGCAAAATTTATATAATTATATATACCCACCATCTAACATGTTCATCAATTGAACTAGAAACTGTTAAACGCACCAGTGATTTTACATTCTATTTCTCTTAAAATTAGGGTTAAACTTCTGCAAAGTGATCGGCACCAACATACTAACTACACCAACATACCAGTGGTTCAGTTGTACTCAGCTCATCTGAAGCTCATCTGCTCTTGAGCACTTAAAACGCTATCAAAGTAGGTACGTGAAAGTTTCCCTTAACTTCCAGTAACAATTAATGTTGCGTTTGCATAAATACAGAGAACACAAACATCTTTTTAAAGATGTATTGTAATGCAAAAAAATCACTAAATTGGAATAAATTAACTGTTTCTGTATTGAGTACTTCCTGATTCTACTTAACGACAAGAAAAAGTTTCCAGGCTATCAATACCTTTGCTTTAATGACAGATTCCATGGCCCTTCAATAGCAAACTACGCTATGACCCGAACTACAGTATTCGTTCCCCTCAGAAATACTATCAACTTTCCCTTGTGGAAAAGGGCATAACGAAGAGCTGCGGTTGGAAAGACTCTTTAAGATTTATTTTAAAAGAAGGAAGAACGGCCTGAAATTTCAGATATTTGTTTGATTTACTTTAAACAACAAAAAGTTAGAGAACAATGTTATAAAATAAAGAGAAGTTCTAAAAAAGGGAGTACATTTTTAGTTTATGATTCTTCTTCATTTTGCAAATGTTAAAAATTCTACTGAGAAACTACTGGAACTAACAAAAGTGAAGGGAAAGGATTCTTTTGTTGAAGAATACTTTCAATTTGTCTCACCGAATTGCCTTTGGTTTTCCGTTTTTCATCCCCTCGCCCTTCCTCTGCATCATCTGAATCTCCATCACTGTCTAACGCAGGCAGCTCTGGATCCAAAGGAGGCTCATAAAGAGCTGTGTTTAATGGCAAGTAACGAAGTTCATCTGGAGAGTATCTAAAGTTAATCAGTAAATAAACAAAATCAATTCATGTGTACTCTATGCATAAAGAACATACAAGGACTTTGATGAGAAAGAGCAAGAAAAACTCCCCTTTTTTCAGGAAGGCACATAAAAAACATGCAGTTCTGAAAACTTAAGAAAAATATTAATTTCTCCTCACAAACATGATACCATCTAGTACTTGTCATCTTTGTACAATAGATATTTATGGAACACAGAAAGAGTACATTTGCAATGTTCTAAATCTACATAATCGTAAGAGGCCATGGCACGCCTAAAAATCTTTAACCAATCCACATTATTATGTCCAACAGACTATGCCCTTTGTTGATAAATGTACGCTGCCCACATAGCATGTGCACAACAATTCTAACCCAGGGCACACAAACATCTAGGGTCCAAAGCAAAGTAAGGAAAGCATATAGCTCTATGTCTGAGTTCCTTGATTAGTGAAGAACAAAAAATGCACATAAAAACATAATTCCAGAAGAACATGAAGATCTAACCACACTGCTTATAGCCACATACAGCTTAACATGTATAATCCACCCTTTTAACTTAAATAATAAGAAAAAAGTGAAAGTCCTCTTACTACTAAGGACAAGCATTGTAAGGAGTATTTTGATGCATATTTTGAAAGGTCATGCCATTCATTAAAAAGGATAAGCAGTTTCACAGTTTGTAAGTGCAAAATAAACGAGTATTTTTAATTCAATTAATTTAATAAAACTGAAGTCCTTCAAGAATGTCACGTAACATGCAAACTTGGGGTGGGTTCTATGTGCACACACTGGAATGTACAAGGCATATGTAGACAAAGAGCTTCTCTGAAGAAAACCATGCGTGTATAGCATGAGTACCATGCAGAGTACCAGTCTTACAGATGGTAAGACTCAGGCAACTATTTCCAAATCAGTATGCGTTTGTCAAATGGAAGCATGCCACCAAGTGAAGTCTTAAATTTGTGCAGTCAGTCAAGTACACATTCTTCATGAAAATCAAAGATTCAACTAGCAATCCCTTTCTCTCTCACTTACAAATCCAACATTAAACTTAGCTCACAGGACCAATCAATTTTTTTTAAATGAAAAACATTCTAAAAATTTAAAAAAGGACAGTAAGATTGTCACACAGAAAACATGGGATCACAAGCCAGCATTAACACATTCTGATATAGCAACATCAATCTTAGCACACATGCAGAGGCAGATGACAAGTAAACACGAAAGGGGCAGAAGTGAAATCAATGTCTTCTTTCACCACAGTAAATATCCGAGCAGGCCAAATCTCAGCCACTGCAACACATCAGCAGGGACAGTACTCTTGCAATCAGTACTGTTTTGTCAACAAAAGCTGTCATGCTATGCATCTATTAGACCAGCAAGTATCTCAAACATAAAATTAATTCAAAACCATACAGTAAAGACACTGAAATGTTTTCCATCTGCTAGATGTAGAAAAAAATAGATCAGTGCAACAGAATTAGTAGTTAGGATGATTTTAAAATACCTTTTGTAGTACTCCTGGAACTGGCCGGGTATGAGAGCCACTGGATAAGGACTAACCTTTGTTCTCTCTGTAGGTAAGATTTTGTATTTTCCTTGAGGCACCTGGATAATCTGTATTGTTTAATACAAAACAATAACGTTTTTGTTTCAGATACAAATTTTTGAGCCTACCTCATCATCTACTCCCCCAAATATTTTTTAACTAGCCCATTTTATTGAGTTGGAACAGCTACCTGAGTTGTCCCAAGGGAAAGCCAACTCATTAAAAAGGTAAGAGATTCCACTCACAAAATAGTATTACGATTAAGTCAAATCACTAAGTATCTAGTGCACTGAATGAATACTAGGTAACACTACTTCTAACAGGATATTATGTAAAATAATTTAAAAAACAAAATTTAACAATTGAAAGAATAAACACTAACTTTTGTGACTGGCATCTTTAGCATGAATTATCATTGTTGGTCTATATTGGTAGAGGGTACCAAGAACATGTCCATCTAATTCTGAAACCAGATTGTACTATAAAAAATCTCATTAATAATATGAATATATGGAAAGGAGATGCTTACACAGAAGCCTTCTTTCCCTTAAGAAGAACTAAAACTACTTATCCACTATCATGTCTCTAACACGAGTCAATACCAGAAAAATGTAAACTCTCTGTAATAAACTGTTATGTAATAATTTGCATAGAGAAAATTTTTGCTTTACTATCTTTACAAAGGGAGAACAGTTCTGCTTCAAAATGCCAGCTATTTTTTTTTTTTTTACATGAGGCACAGGAGCATGAAACACATCTAATACAAAAATAACTTAACACCTAACAAAACCAAGGGCGTAACCTGGACAGGCAGCACTCTTTCAGAGGATAAATAATTTACTTTTTTACTTTAGATATTGTTCAGGCAAAATTTTGGAGGTGTTCCAAAACAGAATTAGCCATTTGTATGAACAGATACAACAGCAACAGAAGCATCTTAGTAACCTAAATATCCCTCTTAGTTTTATGCTACTACCAGCAGACTAAACACATGGCAACAAAGAAACACTGACATTTTAAAGCTTTCCAAGTATTTTCGAGTTTAAAAAAAAGTTTTCACATTAAATATATTTAAGATTATTTTCAGCAGTATTATTCATTTAATAGCAAAACCTTTTAAGTCCCTACATAACTGAAACAAGACTAATTCAAACCCTTGATAATAAAATAGTCAAAATGGTAGCAAAGCCAACTTTACTAAAAGAAGCAAGGAGCTACCTATTGACATTGGTAAGAAATTTAAATCTGCCTACATGTGTCTGTAAATCAAAATAGGCTCTTCTTTCTTCCATCCGCTCTCGGTTTAAATTGCTGTTGAATTCTGCAGCTTTCTTGGCAGCTTTTTTAATATATTCTGGAACTTTACTGGCTTCTACTTTCTGTGTGTTCTGCTGCTGCATTTGCTGGAATAAAAACAACTTTATTAATTCATATGCATTTCACTATCAGTTTGAGAACAGCCTTTTCTACACTCCATGTTGCAGATCTGGTTTACTTATATGCTAGTTACTTACAGAGTACTCTTTATAATGATCTGTTATTCGCTGACGCTCTTTCTCTTGCAGTATAACCGAATACTCAGCATGTTTGGCAGGGTATTCTTTAATCATAAGATCAATCACTTCATCACTACGCAACGCTGTTAGACCTAAAATAGATAAAAGCAATAATGATGCTATCTGGTAAAACGAACGAACTGTAGGCTATTTATATCCCTCGACAATGAACTCAAGATTTTGGGCAGCTAAAGACAACAACCTGCTGTGCGCAATGTTTCTCTCTTTCAAGTAGGAGTGAACTTATGCCATTTAGCCTTCAAGGCTGGTTAGGAGCTTGCTTCCACCCAAGGAGTCAAGGCTTGTTTCTGTTCTTGCTTACAGCTGCAGACTCCTTCACATCGACTCCGACACCCACTAAACCGCCCTGTAAAGCAGAACCTTCGTTCTAAGCGGGCCCTGGTGAACAGTTCCAATATTGGCGAAGTGTTAGTTTAATTAACTTGCAGAACCTTAACTGAAATTACGAGGTTTACATAACCTCTCTATACGAATCAAGGAGGAATCACTGTGAGGGCAATTCAGAGCAGTGAATTGCACACAGAACCCTGAATCCTCATTAAAGTATTTGAAGATCAGAAAGCAGAATGCCTCAGTTTGCAGCTACAATGCAGAACTTCTCCTTTAAAGGTTCCAAAACAAGTAATCTCCAAACCTTGACGACAGAATGGAGGCTGATTTATGGTACTATCACTGGTTACAAATATAACCTTAAAAATAGGGATAGTTAACTCAGCACACATTTCTACTGGATATATGAGGCAAAACATAGCATTTGGCTTCTACTGGTAAAAGTTAGCTACTGTTCTCTCCTGCATATCTAAGTTAGAAAACAAAAATTAAAACAGTTGGCAGGTGAGAAATGAAGGCAGTACGCCAAAGACCATTAGTATATAAAATAACATAACATTTGCACAGACCCTTGATATGCAGAAGAAAATGCAACAGACATAATTGAATCTCTAATGTGCTCCAAGTCACATATACTAGCAAAGAAAAAAATATCTAAAGTTCTTCCAGTGTAAGCTGCATCAACTTTTAACATGTAAGTTGCTTGCTGAGTTCCAACTAATTGAGCAAAACAAGACTGAGGTACTTTTTAGTTTGAAAAATTATGGTATTCTCTTTTCTAGATGGAGAAAAAGGTTCTAAAAGCTAATTTACAACATAGAAGGGATTTTGTTAAGTAATAGAGTCAAAATTTGTTTTTTTTATAATAAATCTGAAATACTGATACTTCTTAGCCAATCTACACAAATTAAAAATCAAATAGACACCAGTTTTCATTTTGAAATTCATGTTTTCAGTTGACAATGATCACAGAATCACAGAATGTTAGGGATTGGAAGGGACCCCAAAGGATCATCTATGATGTAATTCTTCTCTACCAAACTGAATCACATTCTCAGTGTGTCATATTTTTACTACTGTAACAAGAAATCTAACAATCTGTTTTCTTACCTAGTGTGCACTGAGTCTCTGTGATAACATTTAGTTCTCTGAGGTAGAGTTTCTCCTTGTGAGATAAATCTCGTCTTTCTAAATCTCCAAAGAAAACAAAAAAAAGCAATAAAAATGCGGGCAGTTACTCAAACTCCCCCATAAACAATGTCAAAGTATTTTGACGATTTTATTTCCAGGCAGTGATAGTCTGTCTTATACCACTATTCCTACACAAGTGATAATTTATAAATTAATTTTAAACTTAATATATACTGTAGGAATACGGCCAATTTTTCCAAGTACACTGTCCATAGTTACAATTTACAGAAATACTGAAGAAACCTGACTTATGAGCTTGGATGCAGAAAACACTGTCAAGCAATGAAGGTACATTCTTTTTGAATTTTAATAAGCTTTTCAAAAATAAATTCCATGACAGAAAAAACAGATTTGACAATTCTGAATAACAAGGGCTAAAATCCCACAACATCTCCAATTTGGTTTTGGTTGTGGGGTTGTTTTTTTTCTTTTTTTAATTCTTCCACGGTGTAGAAATGCTGCCACAATTCAGGAAACAGATGAGAGAGATACAGCTATATAATAAGAAATCACCAACGAAATATTTAAAAATGAAATTGAGGTCAGTTTTCAAAAGGTACTTACTGATCTAACCCCCACATCAAGCTTGTTTATAGATTTTCGGTATCAATACCAACAAGTCTTAAATTACTTTGAAAATTGTAGGCCACATTTTGAGTATGTCAGTAACTAAAATAAAAAGCACAACGTACATAATACAGCTCTACTTTTGCCAGGCTCTTTTTTTAATCAGTTGGCTCATATGGTAGTCAAAAAGACAGAGATTACATCCCAACTGTAGGAAGACAAAGGCGTCTTAGAAGGAAAAAAATAAAAACATAAATACCTGGATATTTTCTTTTGAAGGAAGTCACACCCAAATATTCACTGACTTGCTCCTGAAGCATATAGTATTCTCCTGTTTCATCTGGTGGCCACTTGTATTCTATCAAGTTTTCAGCGGGAAAATAGCTGTATCTAAATATAATAACATTGACAGAACAAATTAAAGAATTCTTAAGAGGGATACTTACATTTCTAGAAATTTGCTAATTCCTATTTATGTCAGTGAACAACATCTAAAAACTTGCTGCATCCTATTAACCCATTTCAAAGTCATTTAAGTGATACCTCGCTTCACATATATTTCTCCAAATCAGCATTCATCAATATGCAGAGAGACAGAACACGAAGAAAGGTATATTCACGATAGCAGACAGGACACCAGGAAAAGCACGTACTATAGCATCAAAATTCATTCAAAAAATATGTAATATTTAAAAAATACATAAGCTCGTCTTCCTATTGCAAATTAAGATGCATCACATTTTGTGCTGCTTTAAAATAAAATTTTTTAAAATACGCTGGAAGAAAAAGACAGCTAGCTACTCATAGGACATTGCCTCAATTCAGAAAGATATATGAAGAATCTACAAGCAAAGAAAGAAGAAGAGTTAATACCTAAGCATATCAAACAATACGGTAAGATTAGCAATTAAAAAGTGGGAATTGTAAAAAATGGTATTACCCAAGGTCCTGACTAGAAGTTTCACAGCTCCGAGAACTGTCCCCTGAGCCCATACGTCGTCTTTTGGATGGTTGGCTGCTGTCATTGGAATTCTCTTCTGCGTCATCCTGAAAAGAAAATTAAGATAAACATTAAAATAATTAAGAGCATTCAGCGGATAATGTAAAATATATAAAAAACACTGCAAAGCAATCCACCATTTAAACATACTTGAACTACTGAGCTATTTAACTCTCTCCTACAAGCCACTCACAGGACAGTTTATATAGCAAATTATTCATTACTATAGACTAGCTGCATGACACAGTGGCACATAAGGACAACTGGGTAGTTTCTCACTTGTTGTGCAGGTGGAGCAGACAGAGCTGTGGCTCTGGCCACCGAGTTCATCGTTCTTCCTGTAAACTTCTTACAGCATCGGCACAGCCAGACAGCTGTACACCCAGCACACTTCCCTCACTGGTGACAGTCAGGGACAAGACTAATTCACTTAACCAGGCTAGCTCTCAAAACCAAGCACAGAGCAGAAATACCAAGCCCTTGCTAAGGGCTGATGCTTATAAAATCAAGGGAAACATTACCAAAAGCAACACAGAATTTTACGAATATACAGTTAAAATAAAAGGAATGGTATACAGTTTACAAAAAGATACAATTAGAGCAAGTAGCAAAGACCTGTCTTTTTTGGGGGGGGAGGGGGAAGAGAAAAACTGAAGTTGTAATACAACAGATACAAAAGACATTTCATCTTCAGAACAAAGCTATAACAAGGGAACACTGAGAAGTTAACTTACAGGTGGCACTATTCAGATTTCATGAGATCTATATAAAGAAAGAGAATAGAGGGCAAAGAAAAAATTAAAAAAAAAAATAGTTTTGTAAAATCTAGCAGATCAATGATTCCATTGGCCTTTTTGTGGTTTTCAGCGATTTGTTGTCTCATAACACTATACAACTCCTACCTAGTGCTCGTCATCATCAACTCTCAACGTGTTTAGTGACCATCCTTGCATGATGATAACTGAGAAACAGAAGGCAGGAGTGTTCAAGTGAATCGCCTATTGTCATCAGTAGTAGAGCCAACAACAAAATAGCTCTTTAAGCAACCGAAACTCTAAAGTGGAATAGTATGACAGAATCATGTTTCATAACTTTTGTGAAAAATTTAAGAAAAAAGAATTAACCTGTTGGACATGAATGGATCAAGCCCACAATTATACTTACATATCAAATAATGACAAACAACAATTATTAGGTCTACCTTAGCTAATGCCTTTCATTAGTATGTTTTACTTATCATATCACTTGTAGTATCATTAAAAAAGATTCCAGCAAATGAGAATATGTAACTTTTGTTACATAACGTTTCACAGTACTATAATCAAGACAGACCACAGGGAAAAATCAATTGTCTCGTGTATTTTCGGTTTCTTTCATGTTTTTCACAATTCTTTACTATTTTTTTCTTTCCTGTGGAGTAGTAAAAAGTGCATCTTTCATACAATAAGAACAAAAACTTAAAAATAAAATTGAACAAAACTGTGCTTTCTTAATGCAGGTAAGAATCAGGTAAGCAGCACCTCTACGAGATTACTAATAATACTATTTCCTAGTATTGCTGAGAATACCCTGTATAAACTTAATCAGACAAGCCCAGTAGCAGTCCCTAATTAAAACAGTATCACACTAAAGCATTTTGTGACACAGCTATGTCTCATCAGCAGTTCATCTCTACTTCCCACACAGAACATTAATGCACTCCAAAACTTTTCAACTACTAAACAAAAACATGACCAGGGCCAAAGCCATGCTCTGCTATACCAAAGCTACCACGAGACTTCAAAACATTTTTAAAAGATAGTTCACAACCTGACAGTTAAAAGGAAGCACCTCACACCAGTTTCTCCTTTTGCTTTGAAATTTTCTTTTATTAAATCCGGTATCATTAAAGTATATGAGCACTCATACCACAGGAGAAATGAATGTCCTCTATTTCCATCTTTGCTTCCTATTTGTTGAAAACTTCAGCAAATTCAGTTACACAGGCTCAAATACTAAAACACTCCAGGAAATGAGAACAGAGGACTTTGCAGAAAAAATGAAAACATTTGCATTGCAATCTAACACACGCTGCAGTTCAACTACTGTTGCTGTACCGAAAATAGTAATTAGGGACTGTCTTGAGGCTTCCTTTACACGGGAAGTCGCACAGTGCCAAAACCAGTCCCTTCTCCCCTTGAAAATGCACGGTTCTGTAAAACGCCTGTTAGTCCTTAAGAAATAAGGCTACATTACGAACTTCTGGTACATCTATCAATTCTAAGATCTACGTAACGATCCTTTATTATGTAATCGGAAAGCATGAATTACCAAAACGTCTTTCAAAAAGTGACCGTCAATCTGCATCCTGTTACCCAACAATAAAGGGGCTGAAGTTTCCTTTCCAGGTAAGCACTCGGTGCCGCACGCCCAA